TACCCTTTCACAAATACCGGAAGAATCTTCAACATTCAATTTCGTGGAGCAGCTAATTGGACTTTTTTTCTTTCCTGTCGAGCATTACATCAGTCTATCACTCCAGCCACGTCTAAATTAATTCATTCCTTCCCAAGTCAATTGTTTCCTGTTAACTTTAATCGAACAGAGAAATGTTTTTGTTTTGTTTTTAAGATTTAATAAGTTGTTATTTAATGGTAAGTTACGTTTCATTAACCCCTTTGAGTATGATACTTTAACCTTTGTGTACGATGACTTAACCCCTTGAGTACAATAATTTATCCTTGAGTACAATAATTTAACTCCCTTGATTACAATGATTTAACCCCTCAAGTAATCAAATCATCATCATGCTTAAGGAGTTAAATCGTCATATTCAAATTATTATCATCGTACTCAATAGGGGTTAAATTATTGTACTCGAGGTGTTAAGTAAACTGTGTAAGAAATCAAATTAATAAATGAAAATGAGAGTTAAGAACGAAGGAAGTGGTAGAAGGGATATGGAAGGAATGAATGAATGAATGTACTCAGACCAATCCATCACCATTTAACACGTGGGTCCCATAGGCATGACTTAGCCTTCGGTACACAAGAAGGTAGCATGGCCGGTACTGTAATCACATCCCCAAGATATAAACACAGGTATCTATTTACAGGTGGATGAACTTGGATCGCCTGGGAATCGAACAGGAGGCGAGTCCTGTATCCACTTGACCACTGTATTCTAATTAACAGGTAAAGGAGATACAACCTTTTTTCTTCTATTTTAGACAATACATAACATTCTCAACCTAATCACCAGTTTAGGTTGGGTTAGGTTAGGTTGACTTATGTTAGGTTAGGTTAGGTATTGGTTAGGCATAGGTTAGGTTTTCCTCTGGTTACTTAGACCACATATTGACCCCATGAGTGATACAAGAAGCACAACATTTCGATCTAACACGTGAACCAAGGAACCACTTGTTGACGTGAGGGTGGCAAGTGTATGACGGGATGAGCCACTGCCTTACTGGTGAATGTCCCTTGGCATCTGTACCCCTTCCCCCAGCTAAGAACTACCCCCTATAGCTATCTGCTGTCCATCTTCTAGCTTCTAATCCCTATTCTACCACCTATAATCCCTCTTCTACCACCTATAATCCCTCTTCTACCACCTATAATCCCTCTTCTACCACCTATAATCCCTATTCTACCACCTATAATCCCTCTTCTACCACCTATAATCCCTATTCTACCACCTATAATCCCTATTCTATTCACCTATAATCCCTCTTCTACCACCTATAATCCCTCTTCTACCACCTATAATCCCTCTTCTACCACCTATAATCCCTCTTCTACCACCTATAATCCCTCTTCTAGCGCCTATAATCCGTCGTCTAGCCACAATCCTTATTCTAGCCTCTTAATTCCTCTCTAGTACCTATAATCCCTATTCTATTCATATAATCCTCCTTCTAGCCCCAATAATCCCTCTTTTTGAGACTATAATCCCTATTCTGGGCCTTACAACCCCTATTCCAACCCCCTAATCCTTCTTTTACTCCCAACAATCCTTCCCCCGCCTCCCACTCCCCCTCCCAGCCCCTCCGAGTCATTAAGTATCCTCCTCTACTAATCCCTGTCATCAAATCACCATTACCCATCGTTTAACCACCCCATTTCCCCACTATCTCTTCCCACCATCTCAGTACCTTTCCCCAAACCCCCATTACCCCATCTTCCAACACCCATTACCCCCATTACCCCCCCCCCCAATAGCTCCTTGCTTCTCATTCCCAACCTTTCCCCAAGTTTGCTAATCCCCTCCTCCTCCTTCCTCCTCCAGCCATCCACTACCCACCCTCCAGTGTCTCTCCTTCCCTCCCAATCCTCTCCCTCCCTCCCTCCCTCCCTCCTTCCTCTAGGTCAGGGAGAGAAAGGCAGGACGTTAAGGACAGCCGCTCAGGGTGATGGCACAATCAATGGTCGAGGATTGGAGTTTCATTTCACGCTAAATTTCCTCCCGAGGTCCCCAGACGACCAGCGAACCCTGCCCTTACTGTCTTCCCTTACTGCTGGCGGAGACACTGACGCCAGCATCCCACTCTCCCCCCCCCACTCACTCCCTACTCCCTACTCCCCACTCCGTTCTCTACACAGTGTATTGATATGGTTCGTTTATTAGGCATTGGGTTAGGTGGGATAACAAGGTCGACAAGAGAGATTTGTTGATGATTTGGAGTGACAAGGAAGGAGACCTGGTGATTTAAGGGTGGTAGGTAAGGGAGCTTGTTGATTAAGGGTGGCAGGTAAGGGATCTTGGTGATTAAGGGTGGCAGGGAAGGGAGGTTGTTAATTAAGGGTGGCAGGGAAGGGAGCTTGTTGATTAAGGGTGGCAGGGAAGGGAGCTTGTTGATTAAGGGTGGCAAGGAAGGGAGCTTGTTGATTAAGGGTGGCAGGGAAGGGAGCTTGTTGATTAAGGGTGGCAGGGAAGGGAGCTTGGTGACGAGGTGTAGGTACAGGGAAAGAATGATGACTGAGTAACTGGGTGTGAGTGCTGGTAAAATTTTACTAATGGTGTACACTAAGGAACTGATCGGTAGATTGGGACGTGTAGACTGGTTGATTGATAGATTGGGACGTGTAGACTGGTTGATTGATAGATTGGGACGTGTAGACTGGTTGATTGATAGATTGGGACGTGTAGACTGGTTGATTAATAGATTGGGACGTGTAGACTGGTTGATTAATAGATTGGGACGTGTAGACTGGTTGATTGATAGATTGGGACGTATAGACTGGTTGATTGATAGATTCCAGGACGTGTAGACTGGTTGATTGATAGATTGGGACGTGTAGACTGGTTCATTAATAGATTGGGACAGTGTGGAGCTTGTTGATTGATAGATTGGACGTGTAGACTGGTTGATTGATAGATTGGGACGTGTGGGCCTGAAGTTTGATTGATGGGTGGGACGTGTAGACTGGTTGATTGATAGATTGGGACGTGAAGACTGGTTGATTAATAGATTGGGACGTGTAGACTGGGATTTGATTGATAGATTAGGACGTGTAGGCGTTTGATTTGATAGATTGGGACGTGTAGACTGGTTGATTAACAGATTTGGGACGGGTAGACTGGTTGATTAATGGGTGGGACGTGCAGACTGGTTGATTGATGGGTGGGACCTGTAGACTGGTTCATTAATAGATTGGGACGTGTGAACTGGTTGATTGTTGATTGGGACGTGTGAACTGGTTGAGTTGATTGGGACGTGTAGACTTGTTGATTGATAGATTGGGACGTGTAGACTGGTTGATTGATAGATTGGGACGTGTAGACTGGTTGATTGTTGATTGGGACGTGTAGACTGGTTGATTGTTGATTGGGACGTGTAGACTGGTTGATTGATAAATTGGGACGTGTAGACTGGTTGAGGTAAAAGTTGATGATTGAGGATAATTAGAGGAAAAGATTAAGAAGTTGAGAGAGAGAGAGAGAACGATAACTGGAGGTAAGTGGAGAGAAAATCTGATGACTGAGAGTGGATGGATGGGATGACTGATGATGACTGGAGAAAAAGACTGATAAGTATGAGTAAGTGGAGGAAACGACCGGTGACTGAGGGTGGGTGGAGGGGTGGATTGATGACTGTGGAGTGGGTGGAGGGGTGGATTGATGACCGTGGAGTGGGTGGAGGGGTGGATTGATGACTTTGGAGTGGGTGGAGAGAGAGATTGATGACTTGAGAATAGGTTGATGGAAAGATTGATGTCTGAGGGTAGTGAGTTGTGAAAGTTGATGACCACGAATGAAAAAAAAAGATAATAATTGATGACTGAAAGTAAATGAAAAGGAGAAATTGATGACTCGGCATGTGTGAAGTGTAGAGTTGATGACTGAAAATAGATGGAGGGAACATTAGACGTCTGAGGTGGATGGAAGGACAGTTGATGATTGGAACTAAATAGAGGGAAGAGTAATAATTAATTTAAGTAGATGGAGGGAAGGATTGATGACGTGAGTGGAAGGAGGATAGAGTTGATGAAAATGGTGGGGGTAAGAAGAAAAAAAATTGATGATTGAAAGAGAGAATGGATAGATAGGAAGGTTGTTTATTGCGTGGTGATAGAGGGAAGATGAAAGGGGGGGAGGGAGAAGAAAAGGGAATTGAAAAGAAAGTCGGGAGAAGAGCAAAAATTGAGAGGAAATCTGAGAGGGAAGGAAAGGGGAATAATAGGGAAGAGACAGAAATTGAGAGGGATGAAGAGTAGAAAGGAGATGGACAAGAAGAAGAGACAAGCAGAAGAGGAACAAGAGACAAGAAGAAGACAGTAAGAGAGGAAGAGGGTGAAGGAAGCTGGGGTGAGAGTGACGGACACATGATGACAATAATGTTGTGAGCCTCGACTTACACTGGTTGTCATCCTTCACCTCTTCCTCTTGTTTTTCTTTTACTCTTTTTATGTAATTTTATGCTGTTCTTCACCTTTAGTTTCTTTTTCTTTTGTTTTTTTTCTTCTATTTCTTATGTAATTATTCTATGGTTAATTATTTCTCTAACATGTTTTTAATATCAATGTTTTGGACTCTTTGTATCTTAGAACACTGAATTTGGCCTTTAGAGGGTGTTGTTACTTCTGACCTATGGGTAAACTGGATGGCCACTGGTCAACCGTTCTCTTAAGCTGACAGAAAAGAAAGTGAAAAATAGAGGAAGTTATTGGCCTTGGACATAAACTGGAACTGTCCACTTAGCGACTCCTCTCAAGCATTGGAGAAAAATTAACAGAGCATGACTCGTCCTTGTGGCGCCAGTGATCTACATTATAGAAAAAAAAGGCGACCCACCATGACGGCGCATTGGCAATCTAGCTCCGCCTCCTATTGGTCGATGCCTCCTCTAGCGGACCAATCAGCGGCAGCCGTGAGTTACTGGAAGGCAGCTGGGGACCTCAACTTTCGGAGAATCTTCAGATGCTTCCAGGTTCTAGCCAAGCCTGGAACTGACGGTCCAGCTGAAGAAAGCTGAGGGGAAACTTGTGTAACGTTATAGTTCAGTGTCTCAAGAAGTCTTCCACAGTGAACGGGTGAAGTTTAGATACATAAACAATAACGACCGGTGAAGCATCATGGAAAAGCAGTGAGTCTACCAGTGGTTGCTTGATACGCATATCAATATGCCAGCTGAAGTTTCGAGGACGGGAAAGATCGGGGCGGGCATCGTCCTGTTCTTAGTGCTGGCGGTGGTGTCCATCTTGGCAGTTGGATCAGCCGTTGGTTGGTATGACCAGGATAAAGAACACGCCGGCGGCCACCCTCCAGGCTACAAGGAGAGGGTAAGTCACATACACACACACACACACACACACTCACAATGATCATCACCTTGACTTGTTGCTGAACGAGAACGAATACATTCCCCCAAGAGGTCACTTCATCCACTGTCAACTGATACTAATTATCTGCCAGTACCAATCAGAACGAAGAGTTCAGGTATTAAAAATTCCTTCTGAGATTCATCAACGTTATCAGGAGGAGTAATCAGAAAAGGCTTTTGTGGTCAAGGCAGCAGTAGGGCCGACATATCCCAGATAAGCGGTTCGTGTCCTCGGCTGTAAAACTTTGGACGCAACACTTGAGAACAACAAAGAGCGGCTGGAGACAGTGTGGGGCCTCACGATAAGTCAACTTGAACCATCAAAAACTCTTTTATAAGTTGAAGTGCGACATTGACCCAAGTTGGGGGTCACATTATGGTCTTAGTCCTCGTATTAATTTTCTTTTTCTTTTGTTAAGTGTCATAGAAAGGTATTGATTGATTAATATAACGAAAATAACTAATTTCTCCCCATTTCTCCCCTGTAGTAACAAACACGGGTGATGTATAACGAATGTAACTGAAACTTATGCCTGTAGTAACATACGTGGGTGATCTGTCAGGCGATGCTTACTTATACGTTAAATAACCAAACTTTCAGTGAGAACTTATGACCTGTAACTGCGTCGTGTCAGAGGAGACAATATGATCTTATAACTGGGTTGATGATTACACCTGACTTACGGTCTTACCTGGTCACGTATCAGCTGTTGGTGGCTTTACTCTTAACTAACCTTTTACAGACGTCATCATCAAGTTAATTTCTTATCTGAACAGTTTGATATCAGTAAGACAAATGAGGGCCACTTGGACGAAATTCTAATTCAATAGAATAAAATATCGACCAAGTAAATATCAAAGATGGTATTTTCAGTGCAGTGTTTTGTTTAGAGGAGTTATCATATGTAAAAGGTATTTAATGTCCCGTTATTTCCGCTTCCCATGGTAGGAATTTACATAAACGGTTGAGAAATATTCATTATAAACTGTTGTAAAAGATCGCTTAGTAAGTTCTTCACAATATAAAATAACAATGTCACCTGAGCTTTATAAGAAAACACTTAAAATCCTGCTTCTGTGTTTTATAATGAAACAGTCACCGTCAAGTGTTGCCAACTCATAATACCAAATGACGTATTAATTGCTGTTCAAAAAGCCCATCATCTTACTGACCAACATCAACATGTAACACAGCTCTATATGTCACGAGTTCAGGGCAGTTAACCTTTAAAAAACCTAAGCTTGGTTTGCATATTTCCCCAACAGAAAGTTTAGGAAGCTAGAGCAGTGGTGTCTGTCGGTTTTTTAGTCAGTGTTAAATCTGAGTGCGTTAGTGTCTTCAGGCGTATACAGTATATTTATAAACTAGTATGTAAATTATACACATTGTACCGTCTATTGTGGAGAATGAATCCTTTTACAACTGGTGTAAGGTTGAGTGATAGCCAGCGTGAAATATAAGACTCGATTCTTATTGGTGAAAGATTTGATACTATTGACGTTATTTCATGTCAGTGAATAGTTTTAGAAATACATAAGATAATTTGGACCCTTTAATAAACAATAAATTAAAATCTTTGAGAAGATACATAAATGAACATGTAACAAGAAAATTTAATTACAATAAAATCTATTATATTTCACGTCTACATTTTATCAAAGCTTTTTTTCGTAGTTCACAAACTCGGTGTTTCCATGGTAAAGAGTACAGACAAAGTGTTGTTTCTCGTCTCCACAGATATATGGAAGTCGATGGAGCTGTTATTGACTGTACAACAACATGTAATTCATCTGCTTAAAATTATTAGTTTGAAAAGACATAAATCATCAACCTCAAGCATGGGCCACAAAAGGGCCAGTGGAAAATTTTTTTTTTACGATCATCAAGAAATAATAAGAGACTTGTATTAGAGAACAGGTAAAAACAAACAGACAGACAACCGTAAAACATATTTCTTCCACTCGGGACATAAATAAAACTCCTTTAGTAAAATGTGAAGAAAATATACAAAGGGTGTGATGTGTCATAGAAAATTGTATCCTTCCACAGAAAATGGGAACTTTGATCGTGTTCCGGGTGAGACAATTGTGTAAATTAGATATAAATTTGTTCATTCCTTTCCACATAAAACAAAGAAATAATTTAAATATGAGAGTTTTTCTTTTAAAACAACCACACACACACACACACACCTTTATCACAAACAAACAAACATTCACCACAAACAGAAAATATTCGCCACAAACAACACCCATTCACCATAAATAAAAAACATTCACCACAAACAATCATTGGCCACAAACAACAAACATTCACCCCAAACAAACACTTACCACAAACCAACACACATTCACTACAAACAACAACCATTCCCCACGAACAAATATTCGCCACCAACAAACAGTCACCACAAACAACAATCATTCACCACAAACAACCAATATTCGCCACAAACAAACAAACAAACACTCGCCACATTAGCCGTACTCTCACTATGGGGCGAGTTTTACCTCCCCTAATGAGATGATAAAAGGTGTGGCTGTAATTTCCTCCACCTTAATGAAAAAGATAAATTTGATAAAGTGTCGCTCGGGACTGTTGATAACTAAACACATCCCGGCTCTCGTCTGGGCTCTGGAAACTGTATAGTAAAGATGAGATATTTTTCGGTTCATTATCACGCCAAATATTATATGGGTTTGGCCTTTTTTTCTTTCTTCGCTAAATATTCCATGTTAGATTAGGTTAGGTTACATGTTATATACCTGGATTAATTTGTTGACCTAAGGTATGTATATTAATTAATTAGCTTTATATATGGATATCTAATTAAGTCGTTGTTTTAAAATATATTCTTGTCAGTCAGGTGGAAGATGGAGCCAACCATATATACGAGAGCTTTTATAAATAACATAGTTGTCTCAGATCGAATTTTTGTCCGTAAAACAGTATAATTAAGGAACCAGGTAATTATATTAAATTATATACGCACACTATGTTAATTAGGTCACCCGGTTGTCAATGGATACGTTGACAAATTGGAGAGGAAGCGAAGGTCTGTCGAGTGAAGTGACGGCCACACTAGACTTATTTCCGATGCCTTGGTTCTATCCCCCAGGCAGTCCCTATTGGCTATTGGATCCAGTTTCATCTTTTTAGGATTTTAGTTCGTATACATAATTAATCATACAGTATATCTTTTATCTACGACAGTTTGGGGGATAATTAGAATGGCAAATAATGGTGGAATGAGTCAGATTAGTTTGTATGTCTGTCGTAGTTTAATGGACGCTTTCCGATGTGTCTTTGTTTGTCACATTCGCTGAGGTAAACATTGAATCGGATTTTAACTCGAAGAATAAACCTTTGTATTCAATAATCAGTTCTCTACACCATACTTACCAATATCTTGTGTGTAAAGGCACCATTACTGACACTGTTGATTTTGTAAGTGCCAACACATCTGTCCCTTCAGTTCTTACCTCAATAAACCTCTTGCTAATAATGATTTACCAGAGGAAGTGACTGATTTCAAGCTCCATTAGCGTTCACCCATTTTGTTTGCAGACTTGTGGCCGAACAAACACTCGAGCATCATTAACATACCAATTAACCTGTGTTTATGGTTACCTTTTGTCAACAAGATATTTTTATTTCCTTAAACTCAAAATCTGTTAAACTTCTTCCTAAAATAGTGTTTTAGAAACTCAAGTATTCATACGATGTTGTTTATCATTATATATTGTGTGTGTGTGTGTAATAATAATAATAATAATAATAAACGGCTTATTGAAAAAGTTTGCAGCCCAAAGGCTGAAAATATACATTGGACATAAATGACTTATTACATACATTGGTGGTTTAACAAAAGCCTTCATTAGAGAAAGGTGAAGGAACATATACTGTACAGTGAACATACAGATTAATGTTTACACACGTAGAGCATGTGAGCTGCGGTGTTGAACAGCAGACACGTAGTGTAGTAACTCCCTCACAGATGGCGTTATGAGGGGCATCGCGTGGAGTACTAGTTCCCTCACAGGTGGTGTTATGAGGGGCTTGATGTGGTGTAGTAATTCCCTCACAGATGGTGTTACGAAGGGCCTGATGATGTAGTAGTTCCCTCACAGATGGTGTATGAGGGGCCTGATGTGGTGTAGTAATTCCCTCACAGATGGTGTATGAGGGGCCTGATGTGGTGTAGTAATTCCCTCACAGATGGTGTTACGAAGGGCCTGATGATGTAGTAGTTCCCTCACAGATGGTGTATGAGGGGCCTGATGTGGTGTAGTAATTCCCTCACAGATGGTGTTATGGGGGCTGATGTGGTGTAGTAATTCCCTCACAGATGGTGTACGAGGGCCTGATGATGTAGTAGTTCCCTCACAGATGGTGTATGAGGGGCCTGATGTGGTGTAGTAATTCCCTCACAGATGGTGTTATGAGGGGCCTGATGTGGTGTAGTAATTCCCTCACAGATGGTGTTATGAAGGGGCATCACATGGCGTAGTAATTCCCTCACGGATGGTGTTATGAGGGGCATCACGTGGTGTAGTAATTCCCTCGCAGGTGTTATGAGGGGCATCACATGATGCTGTAGCAACTCATTCACTATGCGGTGTCGTGCATAATGGGGACACCACGTGGTCCGTTGTCACAGGAATTCACTCACTCAAGTGGGTGAGGTGTGTGTGTGTGTGTGTGTGTGTGTGTGTGTGTGTGTGTGTGTGTGTGTGTGTGTGAAGGATGCTAGTGATAGGGTTAGGATTTTCACAAATGTCTTTTATTTTCCAAATTTTGTACCGGTCTCTAATTTAGGAACGACCATTTCCTCCCCACAACAATCTCCCCTCTCCTACATCCTCCCCACACTGTGATGTTGTCCTCCCCACAACACCTCCCCCACACTGGTGTTGTCGTTGTGGCAACACTCAAGGAGGAACACGTTTTAATGTCTG